GTGCTGGGGGGGTGGTCGTGCTGGGTGGTGGTCGTGCTGGGGCGTGGTCGTGCTGGGGCGTGGTCGTGCTGGGGCGTGGTCGTGCTGGGGCGTGGTCGTGCTGGGGCGTGGTCGTGCTGGGGTGTGGTCGTGCTGTGGTAAGGTCGTGCTGGGGTGCGGTCGTGCTGGGGTGTGGTCTTGCTGGGGTGGGGTCGTGCTGGGGTGTGATCGTGCTGGGGTGGGGTCGAGCTGGGGTGTGGTCGTGCTGGGGTGTGGTCGTGCTAGGGTGGGGTCGTGCTGGGGTGGGGTCGTGCTGGGGAGTGGTCGTGCTGGGGGGTGGTCGTGCTGGGGTGTGGTCGTGCTGGGGCGTGGTCGTGCTGGGGTGGGGTCGTGCTGGGGTGGGGTCGTGCTGGGGTGGGTTCGTGCTGGGGTGCTCCGCACCCTGTGATTTATCGATCGGGTCGTGCTGGGGTGTGGTCGTGCTGGGGTGTGGTCGTGCTGGGGTGTGGTCGTGCTGGGGTGTGGTCGTGCTGGTGAGGGGGGGGGGGGGGGGGGGGGGGGGGGGGGGGGGGGGGTGGGGGGGGGGGGTGGTCGTGCTGGGGGGTGGTCGTGCTGGGGGGGTGGTCGTGCTAGGGGGTGGTCGTGCTGGGGCGTGGTCGTGCTGGGGCGTGGTCGTGCTGGGGCGTGGTCGTGCTGGGGTGTGGTCGTGCTGTGGTGAGGTCGTGCTGGGGTGTGGTCGTGCTGGGGTGTGGTCTTGCTGGGGTAGGGTCGTGCTGGGGGCGGGTCGTGCTGGGGTGTGGTCGTGCTGGGGTATGGTCGTGCTGGGGTGGGGTCGTGCTGGGGTGGGGTCGTGCTGGGGTCTGGTCGTGCTGGGGTGTGGTCGTGCTGGGGAATGGTCGAGCTAGGGTGGGGTCGTGCATTTCGCTCGAGACATCCTGCCAAAATTCCAGGAAATCGTACAAATACAAACGAATTAGTCGAGACATCATCGAAATTCCTTCGCGCGGGGCGCTTTTCCGCGTCGCGGTCGGCTCTGCAAAACAAGCGTTTCGCTCGATGACATCCTCGGCAAACTACTGGAGAGGCCACGTTTTCGCTCAGACATTCCCCAACTCCTGCTAAAAACAGCGTTCCGGCTCGAGAACATCCTCACAAATTCTGAAAACAAGCGTTTCGCTCGAGACATCCCTCAATTTTTAATTCGCCGCAATTGCCGGCCTCCTTCAACCACGTTATTTAACAGGGTAAAAATTACGCCGGCATTCGCCGGCCTCCTTCAAGTTAGGCACCGGGGACATGTTTTACCTAGTAAAAGAGAACCCTGGCCCACGCCCTTTCCGGGAAAAAATTCGCCGGCCTCCCTCAGTGCGGGGGACAGTATTACCTACTAAAAGAGATAAAAAGTTAGAACCCTGGGCCCCCGCCCATTCCCGGAACAAGCGTTTCGCTCGAGACATCCTCAAATTTTAATTCGCCGGCCTCCTTCGACCTCGTTATTTATCAGGGAAAAAATTCGCCGGCCTCCCTCCAGTTGGCACCGGGGGACAGGTTTACCAACTAAAAGAGAACCCTGGGCTCATGCCCTTTCCGGGAACAAAGGAATTAGTCGAGACATCATCGAAATTCCTTCGCGCGGGGCGCTTTTCCGCGTCGCGGTCGGCTCTGCAAAACAAGCGTTTCGCTCGAGACATCCTCGGCCAACTCTGCGGAGCAAGCGTTTCGCTCGAGACATCCTCAACACACGAAAAAATGGCCCGCACCCTGTGATTTATCGATCGGGATTTCAAAAACAAGCGTTTCGCTCGAGACATCCTCAAATTTTAATTCGCCGGCCTCCTTCGACCTCGTTATTTATCAGGGAAAAAAATTCGCCGGCCTCCCTCAAGTTGGCACCGGGGGACAGGTTTACCTACTAAAAGAGAACCCTGGGCCCACGCCCTTTCCGGGAAAAATAAAACTGATGGACCCACGAACCCGGAAAGGGATATATACATGTGGAGCATGGACACGTTTTCATGATACCCAACTGGGCAACACCTCACGAAACATCCCACGAGACACCTCACGAAACAGCCCACGAGACACCTCACGAAACATTCCACGAGACACCTCACGAAACATTTCACGAGACACCCCGCGAAACCTTCCACGAGACACCCCACGAAACAGTCCACGACGACAGGCAACCACTCAACCAAGGCGGTGTGGTCGTGCTGGGGAGTGGTCGTGCTGGGGTGTGGTCGAGCTGGGGGATGGACGTTCTGGGGGGTGGTCGTGCTGGGGGGTGGGTCGTGCTGGGGTGGTCGTGCTGGGTGCGTGTCGTGCTCAGGTCACGACGCAGCTGGGCTTGGTTCGTGCTGGGCGTGGTACGTGCAGGGGCGTGTCGTGCTGGGGTGTGTCTTGCTGTGTAAGTGTCGTGCTGGGGTGCGTGGTCGTGCAGGTGGTCTTGCTGGGGTGGGGTCGTGCTGGGGTGTGGTCGTGCTGGGTGGGTCGTGCGGGGGTGTGGTCGTGCTGGGTGTGGTCGTGCTAAGGGTGGGGTCCCGTGCTGGGTGGGGACGTGGCTGGAAGTGGTCGTGCTGGGGTGTGGTCGTGCTGGTGGATGGCTTGCTGGGGCGTGGGCGTGCTGGGGTGGGTCGTGCTGGTGGGTCGTGGCTTGGGTGGTTCGTGCTGGGGTGCTTCCGCATCCCTGTGATTTAATCGATCGGTCGTGCTTGGGGTGTTTGTCGTGCTGGGGTGTGGTCGTGCTGGGGTGTGGTCGTGCTGGAGTAGTTATCGTGCTGGGGTGTGGTCGTGCTGGGGTGTGGTCGTGCTGGGGGGTGGTCGTGCTGGGGGTGGTCGTGCTGGGGGGTGGTCGTGCTGGGGGGTGGTTGTGCTGGGGCGTGGTCGTGCTGGGGCGTGGTCGTGCTGGGGCGTGGTCGTGCTGGGGTGTGGTCGTGCTGTGGTGAGGTCGTGCTGGGGTGTGGTCGTGCTGGGGTGTGGTCTTGCTGGGGTAGGGTCGTGCTGGGGTCGGGTCGTGCTGGGGTGTGGTCGTGCTGGGGTATGGTCGTGCTGGGGGGGGGTCGTGCTGGGGTGGGGTCGTGCTGGGGTCTGGTCGTGCTGGGGTGTGGTCGTGCTGGGGTATGGTCGTGCTAGGGTGGGGTCGTGCATTTCGCTCGAGACATCCTGCCAAAATTCCAGGAAATCGTACAAAAACAAACGAATTAGTCGAGACATCATCGAAATTCCTTCGCGCGGGGCGCTTTTCCGCGTCGCGGTCGGCTCTGCAAAACGTTTCGCTCGAGAGCAAGCGTTTCGCTCGAGACATCCCCAACTCTGCAAAACCAGCGTTTCGCTCGAGACATCCTCAACAAATTCGAAAAACAAGCGTTTCGCTCGAGACATCCTCAAATTTTAATTCGCCGGCAATTCGCCGGCCTCCTTCAACCTCGTTATTTATCAGGGAAAAAATTCGCCGGCAATTCGCCGGCCTCCTTCAAGTTGGCACCGGGGGACAGGTTTACCTAGTAAAAGAGAACCCTGGGCCCACGCCCTTTCCGGGAAAATATGCAACAAATGCCCAAAACATGCTCAAAAATACCCCAAAAATAATCCCCAGACTAGTTTTTGACTATTTTTGAACATTCCTCCTGTAGGGGGACAAGCCCGACTTAAAACTCGGGATGCGCTTCTGCAGGTGCGCTCGCCGAGGGCGTTCCGGGACTGTCCGGATCGCCCCGAAGGGCCAACAGAGGCCCGAACTGTGATCCAAAAACCACCTTCCCCGCGTCGTGGCAGGCATCGCGACGGGAGGTCTTTGGATCGTTTTCGGCCTGGCGACCGCTGGGCCACATAGATGGGAACGAACCATGACATAAACATAACAACTCGGAGGTCCGCGCGGATTTCTCGGATCGGCGCTGGGGCACCCTGGCGGCGCCTCCGGCGCCGCCCCTGGCGCGCTCCGCGCGCCGAGGAGGGGGCTCCAGCGCGGATCCGAGAAATCCGCGCGGACCTCTGAATTCTTATGTTTATGTCATTGTTCGTTCCCCTAACATAGCCGCCACAAAACGACTGGGGATGAGGAGCCCGCCCTGGGGAACGGGCCGGGACGCGCGGGGACGCCGCACCGCAAAAAGCCAGACGTTGGATGCCTGGGACGCCAGAAGAGCAGCCATTCGCAAGAGTGGCCTTTGGTGCGCGGCTTGCGAGAAAACTGCAGCATTACCGAAGCCGGATCTATCTGCGAGGGCCCTGGGGCCCGACATAAAACCAAATCGACCAGCTCAGGGCCCCTGTGGGCCCGCACCAACTCGGGGAGACGTCAGACTCGGGTTCAGGGAACTCGGGCTGGCCTGCCGGGGCTGTCAAGCAAAAATGACGAGACCCAGCCTGAAATTTGAAGCGAGCTCTCGCTGTAACCATGCCACGAACAGTGGACCGTGAAAATCCCCAGGACGGGCCCGTTCAAAGAACGTCCGCAAACCCGAATTCTGGCGAACTCGAGTCTCAAGCTTCCCCCACAATAGACACGCGCGTTCCACTACTCGCAAAATATCTACTCGTAAATGGCCTGGATCCGCCATGGGGGATTTACGATACACTACATCGATGCAGGCATGTGTTTTTGACGTTTGCGAGTATGCACTTTGCGAGTAGTGGAACGCGCTCGGTGACACAAGGTCACTCCAGCGACGGTTCACCCATAACCGCAACCCGCGGATGGTAAAGCATCCCCCCTCAACCCCATCTCTTTATCTCCACGGGACTGAATGTGGTTCGACTGCGCCAACGGCCGGGGGGCCGTTCTGTGTCATTCCCTCCCCAAAGCACTGTCGTAGCGCTGCTTGTGAGGATGCCCCAGGCGGAACGGGATCCAGACGCCCAAACCTCGGCATCTCCGGGAACATTCATTATCCCGCCCGGACCCCACGAGATTACGACCACCGCCGCCTTCCGCCGCCGTTCGCCGCGGAAGAGATGACAGCTACTTCGATCCTCGAACGCACTGCCCTCTCCGCAACGCATACGCGTGGGCCGCTCACCGCGCGGCCCCCGCTCTCGAGCGCCTTGGGCGCGCTCCCAGCCCGCCGCCCCCTGAGCAGCTCGACGGCGCGCGTCTTGCCCGCCGGCGACATGCGGGCGAGCACGACCTCATTGCAAGGCAGGGGGCTAAGACGAAGCCAGGAGGAGGGTAACTTCGGAGGAGCATAGATCGGAGATCTATGAGATCCCGCGGTTTGGGAGGATGTCTCGGGCGCCGCGGCCTTCTCAGAGCGTTCGGGAACGCTTTGAGAGCGTTCCCGAACGCTCTGGAACGGATATGTCCTCGTCCTTGCCCCGTCCGACTGGGTGAGCCTTCATGGGGCCTCTGTGGACATCCGCGGCCCGAATGAGATTCCGGCTTTCGTCCAAGTTTCGACCACCGAGAGAGCGTGATCCACCGCCGCTTTACTTTGGAAAATTCCCCCCCCTCTTCCTCCGGAACCCGGGGGTCCTCTCCCTCCGAAAATCCCCCCCCAGTGCTAAACCCCCCCCCTTCCCCCCGGCAAACCCCCCATCCGGAAAACCCGAGGGGGGGTCACTACCGGTTCGAACCCCTCCTCCTCCCCCCCCTTCCAGAAAACAGGGGGGGGGTCACTACCGGTTCGAACCCCCCCCTCCTCCAGAAAACCGGGAGGGGTCACTACCGACTCGAACCCCACCCTTACTCACCGCCAGCAAAGGACGCCCGGATCCACACCACCGTCCGCACCACATCCCCCACTGCTGTCCCCAGCACCACTGTCCTCACCACCACTGTCCCCACTGTTCCCACCACCGTCCCCACTGTCCCCACCAGTGCCCCCACCACTGTCGCACTGTCCCCACTGTCCCCACCACTGTTCCCACCACGGTTCCACTCTCCCCACTTTCTCCACGGCCCCAACCACTGTCCCACTGTCCCCACTGTCCCACTGTCCCTGTCCCACTGAGCTGTCCCACTGTTCCCACCACTGTCCCCACTGTCCCCACCACTGTCCCCACTGTACCTCTGTCCCCACCGCCCTCTCACCACTGTCCCCACCACCACAGTCTCCACCACTGCTCCACTGTCCCCACCACATTCCCACTGTCCCCCACACCACTCTCCCCACCACCACCGTCCCCACCACTGTCCCACTGTCCCCACTGTTCCCACCATTGTCCCCTCTGTCCCCACCAGTGCCCCCACCAGTGCCTCACTGTCCACACTCTCCCCACCATTGTCCCACCACGGTCCCACTTTCCCACCACGGTCCCAACCACTGTCCCACTGTCCCCACTGTTCCCACCACTGTCCCACTGTTCCCACCACTGTCCCCGCCGCTGTCCCACTGTGCTGTCCCGCTGTCCCCGCTGTCCCCACCACTGTCCCACTGTCCCCACTGTCCCCACCACTCTACTCACTGCACTACTTCCCCACCACTCTCCGCACCAACGCCTTCACCACTGTCCCCACCACTACCGTCCCCACCACTGTCCCACTGTCCCCACCACTGTCCCGCTGTCCCCTCACCACTGTCACCACCACCACCCTCCCCACCACTGTCCGCACCACTGTCCCACTGTCCCCGCACCACTGTCCCCACCACCACTTTTCCCACCACCGTCCCACTTACCACAAGAAGCCATCAAGGACCCCCCGGGGTTATCATTAGCACAGCACCGTAATTAAATAATTATGGGCGGCGGTTTTTCGCCGAACGATATGATCAACACCGCGCAAATGGAATGAACATGAATAATTCCCACGCCCCGGTTCGGGTGGTATCCCAATTGGAATTGGAATGCAAACAATAACAAGAGTGACATACGAGTAATCGTAATAAGAATAAGAGTAGCGGCCACTCCAGTTCTCGCCCAGACCGACCACCTGACAAAGACTCGTCTGCGTCCAGAGCAGTTTCTGAGGATGTCTCAGGCGAGGCGCTTGTTTCAGAACCAACAGGAGGCCATATTGCGAGAATGTCTCAGGCGGTTTGCTTGTTTCGGCGAGCAGACTCGTCTGCGTTCACATAAAGGTGCGAGGTGCCAGAGCATGTATGCATGCATGCATGCATGCATGCATGCACGTATGTATGTGTGTATATACATATATGTGTATAAACATGAATATATACATATGTCTACGTATGTATGTATATGTATATATATGTATGTATGTATGTATGTATGTATGTATGTATGTATGTATGTATGTAGGTAGGTAGGTATGTATGTATGTATGTATGTATGTGTGTGTATGTATGTACGTGTATATATGCATGTTTGTACGTATACACGTGTAAATGAGGGCACGTCTGTGGATATGCATGTGTGAATGTATGTGTATGTGTATGTATATATGTGTAATGGAAAGGTATATGATATATGCACATACATATATATATATATATGAAATATGTCTATACGTATATGTATGCATTTATGTTTATATCAAACAACATATATGTTTTCGGACGTTTGCGAGCAAGCACTTTGCGAGTAGTGGAACGCGCCCGGTGGAACGCGCCGGGGAGATCACGACGACGGCTTTTACGTTGGTAGGCTGCAGTCGCCGAGGGCCTCCGCCGCGCCCCGGAGACCGCCCACTAAACGCCTCGGCAGACGGCGGGCCTGCTCTGGGGAGCCCCGCCTTGAAAGGATGACGACCTCAGATGCCTGGGATGCTTGCTGCTCCAGTCTCAGACATGATCGCGTCGTAAAAACATCCGGACGACAGATTGTGCGCTATCTTCGACTTGTGGGGGCCCTCGCCGAGCCCCGGGAGCGTCACAAAACGACTCAGGGTGAGAAACTGGCCCTGGGGAAAGGGTCGGGACTTCCAGTGACGCCGTACTGAAAAAACCAGGACGTTGCATGTCTAGGGAACGACCCCCCGCCCCCGACGGCGACACCCGCGAGCATCCCTGGCAGGCGGGGTGCCAGGACCAGGGGTGGGGCGGGGGGCGGGGGGTTGAGAGTTCGGCGGTCTTCCAGCGGTCGTTCCCGGAAAATCCCACCCCCAGTCGCGGCATCCCTTCGGCAAGACTGCTCACCCCCGTTGTGGCCGGGGAGGAGTGTCACTTTGGGCACTGAATCCTGGCGTGCGCAGGGTGGGCTGTGGTCCGCGCCCCCATGTTGCTAGGGGCCGACAGTGCCAGCATTCCTGTAGGCCTACCACGAAAAGCTCTGGGAACAAAGGCATGTTCCAATCAGAGAAGCAGTGCCCTCATAACATCAAGCCGATGTGTGAACACCGAAAGGCCTCAGCCTTGAATGGTCGAAGAACGTATCGTTCACCCCACCAACGGCTCTTAGAACAGTACTTGGTGGGCCTACTGGCGGGCCAAGACGCCTCGCCACTGCTTCACCCAGGGGATATCGACCGCGTGCTCGGCGGCCGCTGCCCAGGCGCTGTCCCCAGCCTCGTCCAGCGCCGCCTCCGTGGCGACGAGCCCGGCGCCCCGCTCGGCCAGCGCCGCGGCGTCGCCCACGGGGTGGGACTCCTCAGGCGACCACGGCCACCGCGACGCCCACGACGATGACGACGACGACGCAGACGACGACGACGACGACGACGACGACGACGACGACGACGACGACGACGACGACGACGACGACGACGACGACGACGACGACGACGACGACGGCGAGGAGCCCGGCGCCGTTTTTTTTGTTTGTGTTTTCGTGGCGCTCGCTCCGAAGTGCTCCACGCTCTCAGGGCGCGCTCCAGCCATCTCTCGCCCTGACATTAGTTTTACGTCGGGCATGTCCTCCTACAGGAGGCTTTTGGACGAACATGATGGACCCACGAACCCGGAAAGGGATATAGACATGTGGAGCATGGACACGTTTTCATGATACCCAACTGGGCAACACCTCACGAAACATCCCACGAGACACCTCACGAAACAGCCCACGAGACACCTCACGAAACATTCCACGAGACACCTCACGAAACATTTCACGAGACACCCCGCGAAACATTCCACGAGACACCCCACGAAACATTCCACGACGACAGGCAACCACTCAACCAAGGCGGTGTGGTCGTGCTGGGGAGTGGTCGTGCTGGGGTGTGGTCGTGCTGGGGGGTGGTCGTGCTGGGGGGTGGTCGTGCTGGGGGGGTGGTCGTGCTGGGGGGTGGTCGTGCTGGGGCGTGGTCGTGCTGGGGCGTGGTCGTGCTGGGGCGTGGTCGTGCTGGGGCGTGGTCGTGCTGGGGCGTGGTCGTGCTGGGGTGTGGTCGTGCTGTGGTAAGGTCGTGCTGGGGTGGGTCGTGCTGGGGTGTGGTCTTGCTGGGGTGGGGTCGTGCTGGGGTGTGATCGTGCTGGGGTGGGGTCGTGCTGGGGTGTGGTCGTGCTGGGGGTGGTCGTGCTAGGGTGGGGTCGTGCTGGGGTGGGGTCGTGCTGGGGAGTGGTCGTGCTGGGGTGTGGTCGTGCTGGGGTGTGGTCATGCTGGGGCGTGGTCGTGCTGGGGTGGGGTCGTGCTGGGGTGGGGTCGTGCTGGGGTGGGTTCGTGCTGGGGTGCTCCGCACCCTGTGATTTATCGATCGGGTCGTGCTGGGGTGTGGTCGTGCTGGGGTGTGGTCGTGCTGGGGTGTGGTCGTGCTGGGGTGTGGTCGTGCTGGGGTGTGGTCGTGCTGGGGTGGTGGTCGTGCTGGGGGTGGTCGTGCTGGGGGGGTCGTGCTGGGGGGGTGGTCGTGCTAGGGGGTGGTCGTGCTGGGGCGTGGTCGTGCTGGGGCGTGGTCGTGCTGGGGCGTGGTCGTGCTGGGGTGTGGTCGTGCTGTGGTGAGGTCGTGCTGGGGTGTGGTCGTGCTGGGGTGTGGTCTTGCTGGGGTAGGGTCGTGCTGGGTCGGGTCGTGCTGGGGTGTGGTCGTGCTGGGGTATGGTCGTGCTGGGGTGGGGTCGTGCTGGGGTGGGGTCGTGCTGGGGTCTGGTCGTGCTGGGGTGTGGTCGTGCTGGGGTATGGTCGTGCTAGGGTGGGGTCGTGCATTTCGCTCGAGACATCCTGCCAAAATTCCAGGAAATCGTACAAAAACAAAGGAATTAGTCGAGACATCATCGAAATTCCTTCGCGCGGGGCGCTTTTCCGCGTCGCGGTCGGCTCTGCAAAACAAGCGTTTCGCTCGAGACATCCTCGGCAAACTCTGCGGAGCAAGCGTTTCGCTCGAGACATCCTCAACTCTGCAAAACCAGCGTTTCGCTCGAGACATCCTCAAGAAATTCTGAAAAACAATCGTTTCGCTCGAGACATCCTCAAATTTTAATTCGCCGGCCTCCTTCGACCTCGTTATTTATCAGGGAAAAAATTCGCCGGCAATTCGCCGGCCTCCTTCAAGTTGGCACCGGGGGACAGGTTTACCTAGTAAAAGAGAACCCTGGGCCCACGCCCTTTCCGGGAAAAATGAAGAATAGTCTGAAAATAAATCGAAGATATCAAAAAAATAACAAAGAAATCGTCCCAGGGCTATTTGCTTACGATGTTTGGGATATCCCTCTTGAAGAGGGACAGGCCCGACTTAACTCGG